CCTTCTGACACCTCTGGAGTGTCAGTGAGTAAAGCCTTACGCTCCCTCATGGAGAGCTCTGGAGCCCCTCAGGGTCCTGCTCTGCCGAGCAGCAGCTGGGTACGTGGTTGGGTTTGCTGTGCATGGACACAGCGAAGGAGAACTGCACACGAGTGGAAAGGCACCTTGGGGTATGTTCTGCACAGAGAAAGCAGAACCCCACCCTTGTACCCAGTAGCCCTGAGGAGGTGGTGAGACGAGCTCACCTCTGCCCACCCTGCAGGACACACCTGTGATCAGCACAGGATCACTGAGGTTGGAAAAGACCTCTGAGATCATTGAGCACAGTGCACCCTGGCATTATTAACCTCAGCAGCGTGGCTTGATTTTCACTGTGGTGATGAAGCACAGGAGCTGGGGGTGCCTGAGGAAGTAGGTCCAGCTCAGCTGGAGCTTCTGACCAGCAGCTGTCACCAGGGAGCTGTCACCAGACACTGGCTTTCCCTGATAGCTCCTGGTGGCCATGACAGGCTATGAAGCAGATTGACAACTTTTGCTCATGCTGGAGGGGAAGATGAACATGATTTTGCATGTTGAGAAAAGGTTTAGCCTGGGCTTTAATGTTTGAGGAGGGCAATTACTACCTCCAGTCCATTTGTCTGCCTTTCTAGGAATGATGAGTGATGGGCTTAGGTCATCACCTGGGTCTGCATCAGATATCTCAAAAGCTGGCACTGAACATCTGCAAGCTCTGGCCTGGTGAATCTGAGTTACCTTGGCAGAGCTGGAGTGCTGACAGAAACTGCATTCCTGGACACCGGCCTTAGTTGAAAGGACATGAGCTAAACGGGGAGAGGCAGGGCAGAAAATGGGGATGAAATACCTTTTTCCAATGAGACAAAAGAGTTAACCTGCTGCTGGTGTCAAAACCAAACTGGGATGTGAAAGAGTAATGCAAAAGTGACTTCATTCCATTGAGTCAAGTGTCAGGAGCCATCCTGAACTCATTCTCTCTCTCAAGAGAAACAGGATAATCCAAATTTGGGGTTCATGTATGGGAAAGCAATTCACCAAGTGATAGAAGGGCCTTGACATGCAGAAGGAAGAGATGGAGACCTCCGCAGACCTGAGAGAAGGGCTCTTTGCTTCAGTCAGCCTTTGTGGGGACTACAAGGAAGAGATCCTGATGTGATCCAGTCAAGGGAGCTGCCCCTGAACAGCATGTGGTGTTAGAGCAGGTGAGCTCTGGCCAGTGCTGCCTGTGGAAAGCTGCCTTTGCTTTCCTGTCAAGGGACATGTGCCTGCAGGGCACGGGACATCCATTGGGTCCCATGGAACTTCCTTCACTGTACTCTGTCTGGCCTGAAGGCAGAAGTGGTTAAAAGGCTGATCCTTCAGATAACCACCTTCTGCTTAAGCGTGGAGACTCATTGTAGAGAAGGGACACTGCAAAGCGTGGGGCTCACTGTGGCTGCACAGGAACAGCTGTGTGCCCAGGAGTGGGGGTTCACAGCCCTGTCAGTGAGTGCCCATGGCCATGAATGGCTTTTGACAACACAATGACAGGCGGGACCCCAGTTAGAGGATGGCACCCACCCTTAGTGAGCTCCAGTCCTTTTTCCCAGGCCATGACCCCAGAACAGAGTGGGAAAGGCCTGTGTCTTCAGAAGCCGGCACCCACCACATCTCGGGGTTCAGCCGGTTCTGCCTGTTCTGCCCCTTTCCCCCTGCAGCTCATCCCTTAATCACAAGCAGCTTGGGGAGACAATGCAATAACCGCACCAAAGAACCAGGCTTGTTCCCCTTTGTCTTCCTCTCCTTTGAGGCTCAGCAGTTGAGGCGAGCCATCACGCCCACAGCCTGGCCGTCACACGTCCGTCACACGCCGCCTCCCAGGGCAGCCAAGCTCCTCGGCGTGAGGGCACCGCACATAAGCACCAGGTGACCGTGGTCCAGCGCTGTGGCACATTGGCAAGGCAGGGCCAGGTGGGCAGGCACACACCCCACGGGGCTGCTCTCCGCTCCCCAGCCCCGGCCCTCGCCGAGCACCTTGGCTGTAAGCTCTCGTGCTTTCACCTCCAGACAAACCATCATCTCGAGCGGGACCACTGAGTTCTCCCCAGAGACGGAAGCAGCCCCCCTCCTCCCTCCAGCACATGGCATGGAGGCTTTTAGGTTGGTTTTTGCTGAGTTCACACAAATCTCGCCTTCCCCTTTCCCAACCCCCCTTCCCCGCGCAACTGAACTCGGCCATTGAGCCCAGCGAATGGTTTATTTCCCAGGTTAGCACAAAGCAGGGGTCTCTGTGTGCCCCTGAACCAGCAGAACAAAACGCACAAAGACGTTAGAGGGCCATTTGTAACCAAATCCCAACACACCAGATACTGTTGGGATTATGTCAGAAATATTTTCCCAGAATGCCTTCCCCCCATGCTCCCTCCTACAGATGTTCAGCCCCCACACCACAGATGTTGTTCCTCTTGCAAAATGAGCTTTCCCCTTTCTCTCTGAAATGCCCCTGATGTTTTGCACATTGTCTTTGCTGAAGTCTCCTTTTCACCCTGCCCTCTGCATCCCCCCCTTCCCCAGTCCCTCACTGACAAATGTGTGGAAAGGCCAGCCTGCCTCCTCAAGCGTGGATGAGGGGATTGCTGCAGGGCTCTGCAGGGATGTGGACTATTGGAAGTCACTGTCTTTCCTGCCTCGTCCCCACCATGCCCATCTCAACAACTCTCTCCCTGTTTTAGCTTCAGTCTGTGACCTCCAGGCTCTGCAGGCCTGCTTCACGGGACTCGCTGGACCTCAGTCCCCTCAGACAATGATGCAGGGATACGAGCCAGACCTCTTGGAGGGTCCTGGTGCCTTCTCATGGGCTTGGCATCATGCTGCTCTCCTGTGCTGCATGCCAAGCTGGAGTGGGGCAGGGTCTCCTTGCTGCTTCACAGCTGCCTTGGGGGAGAACTCACTGGTCAGGGCCTTTGGCAGCAGTTTGTTCCTCAGGGATGCCGGGTACATTTCAGACACCAGTGGGAATGGCCAGGCCTTCCCCTCCAGCACAGCAGCCCATGCAGAACACGCAGGGGAATGACCTGGCAGCCCATCAGGGCCGCACTCCAAGCCCTCTGACCAACTGACAGACCGACAGATCTCCGTCGGTAGCGGGCTCTCACTGCCAGTGCCCTCGGTCTCAAGGTGCTGGGCTCCTCCCCAGCCTGGCTGTCGGAGCCTGCCCGTGTGGAGCCATCCTGTTTCTGCCTTGCCCTTGCTCCAGGAGCTCCGGTTGGAGGGCAGGGATCGGCCCGGCCCCAGCACAGGAGCTGTGGGCACTCCACACCATCTGCTGCTGACCCCCGCACACACCCAGAGATGCCACGGGCAGGGATGCTGGACCCAGGGCTCCGTCGTGCAGCATGGCAGGGTGCAGGGCTCATCTCCATCCTTCCCTCCTTTGCTAGTAGTGGCAGCCGAGAAAAAGCATTTGTTCTGACACGAGTGGGGCTGCCAAGTTGTGTCAGGCGCTTTGATGGCCGGGGCAGTAACCTCGACCGCTTCCTCTGCCAGCAGGAGAGCCAAATCCAAGAGCCGCAGAGCATGGAACCTCCCAAGGACTTCAGATGACACCTCCAGTCCGGGACATCGCAGCTCTTTTGTGCCTTACGAGACATTTCTCTCTGGTCGGTGTTTTTCTCTCTACCCAACAGGTTATACACGCAAAGAAATCCCAGAGCGGGATCCTGGAGAGACAGAAGCCGGTGGAGCTGTCCCGACTTTTGGGGCATCTCGTGATTTACACCAGCATGGGCCAGGCAAAGCCCTTTACTCATCACCTGCTCTGAGCAAGAATCCGAGTCTCCATTGGTCTCCCCGGCAGCTGGAGTGCAGCACGAGGTTTTTTCTTCAAAGATAGAGTTTATTGCTAAAAATGTTTTGATCAGTGATAGCTCATATTTACAATGATATGTTTTTAAAGGAATATTCAAGTAAACATTTCCAATAGTTTCTGGCATAATCTCTAGTTTTTTTTTTCCCTATACACAAAAGTTAAAAATAAATAAACTGTACACAGAAAATTTCCTTTAACATCTCTACATGACTATATGTATTCCCACACAACAAAACAATTCCACTCTTTCATAGATTTGTACTTTTCTTTAAAATTTCCTTCTTAATTAATTGTTATACACTTTAAAAAAAACCCTAGTGAGCTTGGCAAATTAGTTCAAACATCAGTGACAAGATCTGGAGTAGACAAAAAAAATACAGCACAGAGAAACAAACGTTCAGGGATGGTGTGGTTCTTGATTTTCCTTTTTTTACACCCCCACCCCTTTTCTCCTTTCGATAAAAACATCTTTACAAGAAATTTCTGCCCTTCCCTTTGGCAGGGAAGTGCTTGGGTTCTGTGGGGATGGGTTTAAAATGTGGTCCTATGTCTTTAAAATAATAATAATAACAATAATAATTATAATAATAATAAAAAACCAGTTGCAATTTCTCCCCCATTTCCTTTAAAATCTCTCTATGTACATGGCTGGTAGGTTTTTTTTCCTTTTTTTTTTTCCATTTTTTTTAATTTTCCTTTTGTTAGAAGGCTATATACGTATAAAAATAGACATCTGATTGTAGTGCTTTACTGTGCCTTTGGCCTGCCCTGCAGTTCCTGGGTTTGCTTTTCCCCCTTTTGAATAAAATAACATTAAAATAAGTCCAAGGGAAAAAAAGATTAACAACAAAAAAATCAAAAAAGAACAACAAAAAAAAAACCCACAAAAAACCCCAAAAATTAACCAAAAAAATAAACCAAAACAAAACCAAAAAACAAGAAGAAAACAAACCAAAACCCCAAAGCGATTCATCTTCTCCCGCTTCGCTCTGGGGGGGTGGGGAAAAAAAAAAACAAAACACCCCTAATAAAACTATCCCAAAAATACCCATCCCAAAAATACCCATCCCCCCCCCCAAAAAAAACCCACCCGAAAAACCTTCCCCCCCTAAAGTGATCCGGAGGAGGAGGGCGGCAGTGCAAGGGGCCGGGGAGGCTTAGCAGGAGCACTTGCACTCGGAGATGAGCGGGTACTGCACGGGGATCCAAGTGCAGTACTTCTGACTGGACCAGCCCTGGCAGTGCCAGCGCAGGAAGGTCTTGGTGACCGACTTGACGGGCTTGCAGAACATGCCCTCGGGCAGCGAGCAGGACTTCTCGGCCAGGCAGTTGCCCTCCTTGATGTAGCGCGGCCAGAAGCGCACCCCCAGGTCCTTCCAGGCGTAGAGGACGGGGCAGTGGGTGTGCGCCCACAGCCACTGCAGCACCTTCCGCCGCGCCTTCTTGCCCAGCCGCAGGCGCGGGCCCCGGGGCGGCCCCAGCTCCAGCCGCCGCAGCTCGGCCGGCAGCGCCGCCCGCCCCCGCCCCGCCGCCGCCGCGGCGCCCGAGGCGTTGGCCGGCCCCGGCACGGCCACGGCCATGAAGCCGGGGTCGAAATGGCTGCCCAGCTTCTTTCTCAGCGTCCTCTCGTCCAGGTCCTGCTCCTTGGGGTCGTACTCGGGGTCCGGGTGCTCCACGATGTCCTTGACGGGCAGGTTGTCGCTGGGCGAGGGTCGCAGGCGCAGGAAGGGCTGCCCGCCCGCCGGCAGCCCCAGGCAGAGGCAGAGCAGCAGCGCCCGGATCGCCGTCATGCTCCGGGCGGGCCCCGGCGCTGCTCCCGGTGGCCTCGGCTCCTAGCGCTGCCCGGCGGCGCCCGCCGGCTCCCGGGGGCTCATAAATAGGCAGAGACACCAGTGTCCGGCGGGGCCCGTTACTTTAAATAGCCCGGCCGGGGTTGTGTGACAGCCGCATCTGAGGCTCGCCCCGCGGCCGCGGCCGCTGGCTCCCGGGGCTCCCCGCCGGGCCGGCTCCAGCCGCGGTCGGCAGCGCCGGGGGGTCCGAGCCTCCCCCGCGGGGGAGGGCAGGGGACGGCGGCGGCCGAGCCTTCCTCCTCCTCTGCCGCCGCCGCTCTCGCTCGCTCGCTCCCCCTCAAAATTCACAGCGGACTCGTCTCCATCGCCATGGTGACAGCTGGGCCGAGCCCCACGACAGCTCGTCTAGACGGTGTGACAGGGTTTGGCGTGAGACCGGAGCCCGAGAATAAAACCCTCCTTTATAGCCGGGCGCGCCGGGCGAGGGGGCGGGAGGAGGGTCACGGCGCCGGGGCGCTCGAGCGGCCCCCGCGCGGGCACGGCCGGGGCACGGGGCTCAGGCGGCGGCGGGCGGCGGCGGCAGCGCCCGCGGCCCGGCCGGGTTCCTCCTCATGGCGAGCGGTGGGGGCGGCCCGCGGGCCCCCGGGGCATCCTCGGCGCGATGGGGCTGGGGGGCCGGAGGGTGTCCCCGGCACCGGCGAGGCGGCGCGTCCCTATTTCCTGGCGGCTCCTCGGCGGGGACGGGCAGGGGCGGGCTCGGCCGCCGCTCAGCAGCAGCTCCGGCGACCCATGCCGCTGCCGCTGCTCCGGGGACCCGGTCGTCCCCACCGCGCTCAGCGCATCCAGCCGCGGCTCCGCTCCGTGCCCTGCGCTGCTGGCTCGGCGCGGTGTAGCCCGGCTCGGCGCGGTGTAGCCCGGCTCAGCTCAGCTCAGCTCAGCTCGGCTCGGCTCAGCTCAGCTCGGCTCAGCTCGGCTCTGCTCAGCTCGGCTCAGCTCACTGTCGCCGGTGTCACCCGGTATCCCGCCCGCCGCGCTCTGCCGCGCCGCCGCTGCCGCCCAAGTTAAATACGCGCCCGGCGCGCGGCCGCCCCGCCCCCCCGGCACTTTCACCTCGCAGTGAGTGACAGCCGGGTCCTGCCGCCACCCCCCGAGCCGCCCACCCCCCTCCGCTCAGCCGTGTCCCACCTGCGGCCCCGGGCCCCGGGCTCGCCGGGAGCCGTCATCCCGGCAGCGAGCACGGCACGGTGCTGCAGGCGATGGCACCGCAGCAGCCTCGGGTCCGGGCACCTCGCGGGCCCCCGGGTAGCGGGACCCTCATTCTGCCTCTGCCTTCCACGGCTGCTTTGCTGCCCCGCGTCTGCTTCTCCACAGGAGCCTGGCCGCCATCAAACCACCTTCCAGCTTTACAAAGAGCTTCAGTAGAATAGGGTACCGTGTCCTTAGAGCCCCTCTGGGACAGCACATCAGGGTGTGACCACTCCAGCATCAGCATCTCGGCACCCTCTGCAAGGGAGCCGGCAACCTTCCAGAAGCATCACTCACTCAAGAGAAAGTGTCCCTGCATCCCTCAGTGCAACATGGTGTGATAACCAGCCAGGTTAAAACACTGGTTCTTCCTTCACCTCCTCAGCTGTGTGGGGCTACATAATTTTTTGGAGAAAAGCTGGACCTGCAGCCTTTGAGGCACAGAGACTGCCAGCCTGGTGTGTGTCAACAGTGCAAACCCCCAAACCCTCCTCACCTCCTTTACCTCCACATTGCTGAGCACTGAGCTCACACTTGAATAATATCCAGAAATTGGACACACAGCTGGTTCCTCCAGGCTGACAGTGTGTAAGAACATTCCTGCCCATGCCAGTCACTCTCTCCCAAAGCCATGAGATAACCAGTTACCCACTGGAGCCAAGGCAGGGTGCAGACGGACTGAGGTGGATTGTGGGTCCAGTTTCTCATCGCAGTGTGCTTCTGACCTAGCAAAGTGAGGGGCTGCAGCGACAGGTCAGCCCAGAGCATCTCTCTGGCACATGCTGGGGGTTGTACAGAGCTGGCTTCACTTACTAGACTAAGTAACAGAGCATCTCCCTCAACTTCTGACTCTTCATCATCCCAGAAATGCCAAATGTTGGGTACAGACAGGAAACAAAACCAAATCACACCTAAAATCAAACCCTAAAACAGAGAGGCTGGACATCCAGCCCTGAGTCTGCATAGAGTCAGAGCATCTGCTGGACACTGGGAAGACAGAGCTGCTGCGCCAGTGTGGGATCCCAGTGCATTCAGCAATTTACTGTGTGCAGGGGTTTAAATCTATCTAACCTTTCTTCCCTTGCTCTGCATTTCTGCATTCATGATCCCAGCTTGGTTTGCTGAACTTGGAGCTTTCCTTCACTCATTTGGCTCACACATACTCTGCAATTAGACCCATGGAACTGTACAGTTTCCCAGCTTTTTCAGCATTAGCTCTCAACAATTTGCAAAAGAGATGGGTATTGCTATCCCCTGAGGCTAAATATGATCCATAAAACGTTCTCATTATCTATTTTCTGACCCTTGTGCACATGCTGTGCTTGAAGTGAAGGCAACCTGAATGTGCAAGATGTGCTCTGCCATCCCTTGCTGCTGGATGGGAAAATGCAGCACTCTCAGCAGTGTCAGGACTAAAGCAAACACAGAAATGAGAAGCAGCTCAGGGCAGAGACACACAAGAGTCAGGAAGGGGGCAATTACTCAGCAAGATGTACTGCTGTTGGCACTGCTGCCTGAGTAAATCCTGGTGGGGTGATTAACATCTGACTGTAATTGTAATAATAAAATCCGACATGTATACAGCATTTTTCATCCTGAAGGATCCCAAAGCACTCAAGTAACTTAACTCCTTCAGCTGTCTCCTGGACTTGATAAACATGTTTCTTAATCATCCCTCCCTGGGCAAAGATGTCTTTGCTCTGGCCACTCTCACCTTGCTTTGACAGGTCCCCCATGGGAGAGGAGAGGCTCTCCAGGGTGGGCTGGAGCAGATTTCCTCTTCTGGAGGCAATAGTCCTGGAAAATGGTGCTTGGCATGCCCCAGGGTTAGCGAGGGGGAAGGTACCAATGTCTGCAGGGAGCTTGGAAGACTGCAGTGGGCTAACTGCCCTGCTCTAGTGCTAGCCACTGTGAATCATTTCACTTGGTCTTCTTCTGAAGTTTCCGAGGGGGTAAGGGGGAATGAAGATAAGCCCCTAGGCAGGAAATTTAAGGTTTCATTCTGTCTGCAAGGTCTACCATGAAAGCCAAAGGCTCCTTCTCCCTTCCCTTCCCTTCCCTTCCCGCCCCTTCCCTTCCCGCCCCTTCCCTTCCCGCCCCTTCCCTTCCCGCCCCTTCCCTTCCCGCCCCTTCCCTTCCCGCCCCTTCCCTTCCCGCCCCTTCCCTTCCCGCCCCTTCCCTTCCCGCCCCTTCCCTTCCCGCCCCTTCCCTTCCCGCCCCTTCCCTTCCCGCCCCTTCCCTTCCCGCCCCTTCCCTTCCCGCCCCTTCCCTTCCCGCCCCTTCCCTTCCCGCCCCTTCCCTTCCCGCCCCTTCCCTTCCCGCCCCTTCCCTTCCCGCCCCTTCCCTTCCCGCCCCTTCCCTTCCCGCCCCTTCCCTTCCCGCCCCTTCCCTTCCCGCCCCTTCCCTTCCCGCCCCTTCCCTTCCCGCCCCTTCCCTTCCCGCCCCTTCCCTTCCCGCCCCTTCCCTTCCCGCCCCTTCCCTTCCCGCCCCTTCCCTTCCCGCCCCTTCCCTTCCCGCCCCTTCCCTTCCCGCCCCTTCCCTTCCCGCCCCTTCCCTTCCCGCCCCTTCCCTTCCCGCCCCTTCCCTTCCCGCCCCTTCCCTTCCCGCCCCTTCCCTTCCCGCCCCTTCCCTTCCCGCCCCTTCCCTTCCCGCCCCTTCCCTTCCCGCCCCTTCCCTTCCCGCCCCTTCCCTTCCCGCCCCTTCCCTTCCCGCCCCTTCCCTTCCCGCCCCTTCCCTTCCCGCCCCTTCCCTTCCCGCCCCTTCCCTTCCCGCCCCTTCCCTTCCCGCCCCTTCCCTTCCCTTGTGCCTGCCTGGACCAAGAGGCTGAGCAGTGCTGTGCATTCACGTGCACCTTCCCTCTTACTCTTACTGTGGGCACACAGCCCAGCTCCCAGTCTAGCCCTTAATTAAAGGATTTCAAGTTGGAAAGGATACATATCCCATATAGAAAAGCCTTATCAAAATAATTCTATGTAAGAAGAAAGATGTGATGTTAAAAGGACTTTCTGAAAGGCTAAAATGGTTACCAGCTGCTTATTTTTGCTTCTTTTCCTTATGTGGCATCCTTTTGCCAGCTAAAGAAGACCTGAAGATTTTTGTGACAAAGTAAAAGGGCATTTTGAGTTCATGTTTGAAACTCTGTTTTCACTGGAAGGCTGTAAGCAGGTAAACTCCAAGTAGCAGCAAAGCATCAGTGATGCTCTCTTTCCAACAAAGTTTTTCATCTGACAGTGTTTTATCCTTTAGATTGTGTTGGACAGCACTAACTGAACTCAAAGCCAGATACAAAGATACTGAGTGAAGCTGTGCTTGTTATGAAGTTGTTACTATTCTTTCAGCTGTAGGTGCAGAAGCTTCATATCCACACCTGAAACCTTGGAAAAGTCTCTTGCCAAAAGCAGCACAGGAAGCCCACACTTGGGAAGATGAGACTGAGAGGAGAGAATTAAAGACAATTGAAGAGAGAGAGAGGAGAAGAGAAAAAGAGAAGAAGGAAAGAGAAGAGGAAAATAGAAGAGGAGGACAACAACTCCCAGACAAATGTATTTTGTCTCTTTTGGTTGTATTTTTCATGCTGGTTTCTGTGTGCTTAAGTTTTCCAGGATCTCTTTATGCTTGAGAAATAATGGTTATGGGCTGACATGGCAAATATGAGGAAAGGCTTGGGTTTGACAAGACAAAAGCCCTAATTTTCACTTAAAGAATCAAAAAAAAACCCCAGGGTTCACCAGGTTTTCATTAGAGATATGTTTATTTTCCAGTAGAAATACATTACCCTGGTCTCGTCAGTGAGTCTAAAGGAGCAGTTCTCAAAGTCTGACATGGCAAGTGGCTGGCAGGGCTCCATGGGCAGCCTCGGCACCAGCTCAGGGGCTGGCTGGCTCCTGCTGTCTGCTGGGAGCAGGGCACATTCAGGGCCTGACAGCAGCTGGCTGCTCCCAAACCCTGGTGAAGGTGACAGGGACAGCAAAGGCCACACAGCCACTGGGGCTGGCGATCTCTTGGCAGCTCTTCACAATGTGTCTTTAATTGGCCAAATTCTCCCGGGGAAAAAATGTCACCATAAAGGTTGGTTGAATGGGACATGGACACACAGAGTGTCCCTCATGTTCATCACAGAGCTACTGAAATTTAATTTATGTAAGTAGTTCAATAATCCTGGTTTTAATGAAGTTACTCACCAGCTCATATGTTTCTCTTCAGGAGAATGGGATGGGGTAGGATATGGAATGGCAGGAAGGTGGCCCCACTCACCTTCTGCTAAAATCTAAGTATTTACATATGTATGCATATGTAATCTATGTAGGTCTTGGACCTGCCCTGTTCACCCCCACTGTGTGCTTCTCAGCCTTGGGCCACCAGCCCCAGCAACCCCCCCCGGCTGCCCAGTGCTGCCCTTCCCCAGAGGGACCAGGAAGGAGCATCTGGCAAAGGTAGCCTCTGAAAGTCAAGCTAACAATGTCCCAGTGGAACTCTCCAGCCATACCTGGGAGGTCAGCATTCACCCATGTTCAGATGTTCCAAAAAGCTGATGGGAAAAAAGATTAACCCTGGAGCTCCAAGGAGGAGATTACTTGGAGGTTAGGGGATTAACCCCAATGCTAACCCTCAGAAATACATTTTCTCTATATCAAGTAGGGTGGTTTTGCTATTCTGAGCTTCCTGGCATCCTTTCTCGCCCTTTTCATGACATATTTTTCTGTTTTTCAAGCTCCTTGTGACTTTCTTCCTCTTGGCATCATGATTTTGTACCCCATCCCTTTCTGCCTCACCCCTTTCCAGTGGAAGTGTTCAAAAGACATATGGATGTGGCACTTGGGGACATGGTTTAGCGGTGGCCTTGGCAGTACTGGGTTAATGATTTGATTTTGTTATCTTAGGGGACTTTTTTAACCTAAAGGAATCTATGATTCTATCACTTGTGCCCAAACTTATTTCTTGCCATGCACCAGGCCTGGTATCTCTCTGTTTTCTGTGGAGCTGTACCTTCCATTTCCATTCAGCTGCCTTGAGCTGGTCCTTCAGCATTCTCACTGCGATTCCCACTCTCTGCACTGGCTGCAGCACCTGCATCTTCCATACCTGATGCCACTCATTTCAATGCCCCATTTCCCTGTTTTCCCTGAGACTTCTAAAATTACACTACCAGTTCCACTTAACAGTCTGCCCAATTCCTGGCACATTTTTGGTAGTGCCTGACGTTATAAATGATTTTTAAAAACCTAGCCTATCACCATTACATGGGAAGAAATCCAAGGTGGTGGTTTCCTCCCTCCTTTCTTAGAGCCTGGAGTTGGTTACATCCAGTTTATTATGGCCTATTAGCCTGGTCAGCTGGGAGAGGTGACGCCCAAGGTGGTGGAGAAGGGTGCTCTGAGCTGGAAGTTTGGTTGCTCTCAACCCATTCCTAGGGATCACAACACTCATCAGCTGCTGGGCTGTATTGGCCAGGCAGTATCTGCACACAGCACAGCACGCTGGAAGTTGTTTCCCTGCAGCCATCAGCAGGTTTCCTGTCATTCACACTGTGAATATTCACATGCATCAGTCGTTGTGGCCCAGTGTTTGTGGGAAGGAGATCTCACCCTCCAACAAGGGCATCTGCAGAAGGAAAGTCCCTGGTGCAGCAGTTTGATCTCCCTGACCCCGGCTCAGCCCCAAGCATCCACCACACATCTTGAGAGCTTGGAAAAAGCTGGGATATCAGGATGGATCCCTCTAAAACTCTGCAGGGTGAACTCTCTTCTCCCAGGGGACCTGGAGGAACACTGCTCAGTGCAGAGACCAGGAATGATCCCTGGATATCTGCCAACATTAAAAAACAACAACGTGGAGCTCTGAGGTTTCTACCCGCTTGGCATACATCTGTCACCACATGTGTTGACACAGAGCAATGCTGCCACGTCACGTTGTACGTGGCAGTTGCTGTCAACACCAGTTCAGGGCAGAGAGAACTGCTCAGGGCAGCTATTTATTGAAAATGTCCTGAATAAAGGGCTGGACCAAGCCTTGGGGACACAGCCTGCCACTAAAGGTGGCCATGCTGGGGAGCACTCGGGCTCAGGGACTCTAGGGGACATGGCCCAGGGAGAATGTGTGTAAACCAAAGACAAATGACCAGCCCTAGGCCAACCTGGTGGCACCAGCCTTTGAAAAGCTTGTGACCCCTTCCTTTCTGCCTGGACAAGTCTTTTGCCACTCTGGAGTACAAGAAGACCCGGTGGCTGGTGTTGGGAACTCTTGCCAAGCAGATAAACAGGGAATAGAATCACAGATTCATTAAGGCTGGAAAGAACCTCCAAGATCATTGAGTTCAACCATTAACCTGGCACTTCCAGGTCCACTGACAAGCCACAGCCCTGCACAGCACATCCAGCCATTGCCCAACACATCCAGCCATTGCCCAACACATCCAGCCATTGCCCAGCACCAATGGGAATCTATAAGGACTCTCCTCCAACAGCAGCTGGACCAAAGACCCAGCTACAGCTCACCCCCAGCCCACTTTTCGATCCTAACAGCCAGCCCCCAGCAAATGCTGCTGTGGACACAGCACTTTCTTTCCACTACCTCTTCTCACCTGTCCTCAGTGCTGGCTGAAGCTGTCCCTCCTGCTGGGCTCTGGCAGGTTGGTCCCAGCCTGCTCTCAATTCCGTCCCAAAACCACGGCTCCAGGCTCCCTCCTGGGGGCAGGCCCATGTCCCATCACAGGGATTCCATCTCAGCCAGCTTGAGAACGAAGGGGCACCAGCAATGATGCTCCCAAGGACACAAGGCTGTGGCTGTAACCAATGTGGGATGGAGGGCAGGGCTGTGACTGATGTGTACTGGAGAGACCTCAGGATGCTCCAGCTCAGCTGACAGCACAGACAGGATGCACAGGGAGCATCCAGAGGTTCAGTCACCGGCACTCAAACCTACTGCTCGTGTACCATGTAGTGCACTGCTACCCAGGACACCTTGTGCTGAGGTTCCATGGTACCTGGGTGACCTGCAATGCTTCATCTGCCTCTGCAACTGCATCTGCTCCCCAGTCTGGCACCCCAAGCACACCCCATCTTCCCCTGGAAAAGGGGATGTGTCTTGGGAGTTGCACTGAAGGCAAATGTGCATGGATGAATTTTTTGCATCTTTCTTCTTCCTCTTCAATGTTTTTTTAATTTTTCAGGAATTTTTTATCTTCTTTGACTTTTCTCTTCTTCAAATATTGCCCTGGTGGGTGGCCTCAAGAGGTGCTCCCATAACCATGCTGGGGTTCTGCCTGTGGGACAGCCTTGCCAGCTGACACAGTGGGTGATTTGTGCTCCAGGACACTGTGGGGTCTCAGAGCACCTTGCTCCAAGCTCACACACATGCATAGCCTTTGCTGGGTCTTTCCTACAGAGCCACTCCAACCTACTCACTAGCCTTGGGAAGGTACATCCCAGAGATTCTCCCAAGGAGATATGTCTCCTTCCAACACTGCTCCCCTCCATCATCAAAGCATCAGAGAAGGGAAGGGCTAGGAGGGTCTGACAGCTTAAAATACCAGGAGTTAGGGAACCTCAGTGACTTTGAGGAGCTGGGCCCAGTGCCCACTAAATCAAAGTCTGTGGAGGCCAGAGCAATCCTAGGAGAGTGTTCAGAGGTTAGTACCTCAAATCCTGGTGCCTCTCCTGTACAAGGGACAAAGGTCAGTTCTAGGGTACCTGGGTTTGGTCCCTCCTGTTTCATGTAGCTCCAGGAGGGACATTTCTCACTGCAGTGACATGGGTCCCTGCCCAGAAGAAGCTAATGGAAAGCAGCAGGAGGCATGAGCTGACACAGGATGGAAAACAGGATCTTATGTCAGCATGTGGCCTTGTGCTCTCCATGGGGAGGTCACTTTTCATAAAATCATGGAAGATACTGAGTGGGAAGAGACCCCCAGGGATCACCAGCTCCTGGCCCTGCACAGACACCCCAACAATCCCACCTTGTGTCCAAACACTCCTGGAGCTCTGGCAGCCTCGGGGCCGTGCCCATTCCCTGGGGAGCCTGGGCAGTGCCAGCACCCTCTGGGGGAAGAACCCTGATATCCAGTCACATCTCCCTCTGGTCCATTCCTTCTGCTCCACAATGCTGGCAGGGTTGACTCCACACTAGCAGCAAGAGGGAAAATTCCTTTTATGTTTAAATCCCAGGGAAGTTGGCTGTGCCCCTGAGAATGATTAACACTGAGCCACCTCATCCCTCAACAAAGCCCAACCCAAAGCCAGGAGGGGCAGAGCAGGGCTGCTGGTGTTTGGGGGATTCTCCTCATGGAAGAGATTTCTTTTCATTCATTTCACAGTCTAAAGAGGGAAACTGGTACCAACTCAGAACATCCTCTGCAGCCCAGTGCTGGGGGTCACACCAGTGCTGAATAGCCTCCTATCTTTTGTTTTCTCTCACAGCCATATTTCCAGACAAGAAACTTGCCTGTTGCACATGGTTCATCTGGAATTTTTTCCTTCAGCCTGAAAATTAAATTTATTTCAGCTACAGGAGACAAGGTTATACATTTGACAAAAGTCATTCTAACTCAAGACACTGAGCAGCATCCCAGTTTTCCTGTGTGCAGACTGTAAGTCCTGCTACCTGCTTCAAAATCTGTGGGAATGACAGCTTTCCAGCTTTCCTTGGGCTTTGGTCAAATCCCTGAGGGAGTTTATATTGCACCCATGCAGCCTCCTCTCAGCTGCGTTCTGCCACTCTATTTGTTTTCTCTTGATTCAGCTCCAGCTTTACTTGTCATGGTTTAACCAGCACACTTGTCCGTGAGATGCTGTGGAGATGTAGGGAGATAAACATGGAGCCAGGTGACTCAGGGACGTGGCAAGAAGGGAGCTGGCACAGCCAGGGGGTGGGTGCCAAATCCTCCCTAAATTCCTGTTTGAGAAAGTCTGCCTGTGAATAACAATTCAATGTAATAACGTCATCTCTGACTGGTTCTAGTTGTCCCCTAGAGCCTGAGGAGCCTGGAGAAGAGCAGCTGTTGTGGAGCAGGGGGAATGAGCATCCCAGAGCATGGCTAGAGCAGGCAGAGAGGGCTTGCAGGACCAGCAGCACATCCCAGTGCCCACCAAGTGCTCCTCATCCCAAGATGTCTCCAGACAAGATGGCTTGGATGGGAGCTCCAGCTCTGCGTTCAGGACCTGTTGACATGGCAGTGGTCAGGGCTTGGGCCTTGCTTTGGGTGCTGCTGCCTGAGCTGGGCTTCATCATCCTCCCCTGGGACTCGTGTAGCTCGCAGGGCCAGAACCTGAGAAGGCATTTGCATTTTAGCCCAGATTTTCCCAGTTAATCGGGACCCTTCCGTCTAGTCGCTTGCTTATTTTTTTAAAGCAATGAAAGAGATTTCCCAAATCCAGGCGGCTCTAAGATTACACACAGGCAGAGACACCATCAGTCTCTGTCAGTCATTCGCTCTGGCTGGAAAGTTGGCGGCAAAGGAGTTCAACTGCAGGAGCAGTGGAGCTGAGCCTGGCTCCAGCCCTTGGTGGGTGTGTGGAGCTGCTGCTCTGCCCTGGGACATCTCGCTCCCCCTCAGCCCTTGCAAATGGTTGCAAAAGATGCTAATTTTCATCAGAAGCTCGTCGGTCCCTGACATAGTCTTTATCCTGGTGGATATTTCAGAGGGCATCTGCAAAGAAGGAGCAGAGAGAGGGAATAACATGAGAAAGAGCAACATCAAGCTGGGGAGAGCTGTGAAATGTCTGTTTCAATGTGAGAATGGGCTCTTTAGAGCCTTCCTACCCAGAAGACAAATCCCTTCTGTTCATACCACCCTGAATGGGCCCTCCATGGGCTGTGGGGTCTCCCAGGAGAAACAGTGACCTTTTCACGAAACACTGCATCCTCCCTCGCAGATGGGGAGACCAGGGGTCTCATCTGGGGACAGGCACTGTCAGAGAGAAAGGCCTGTGCCTGCCTGTAGGGTGGCCAGAGAAGGGGAGAAGCTCCAGCACTGGCTGACTCCTGGTGAGCTCCTTGGCAGGCAGCACTTCCTCTGCACCCCGTTTCAGCAAGCAGTGGGAGTGACAGCCCCTGCACATGGAGCCAAGCCACTGCGGCATGCCATGGGGGCCAGGACATGTGCCATAGGAGCGGGGACACAGGCACAGTTTGCAAGAGGCTGGAAGTGAACTGGAGAGGGACAACTGCACCTACAACTTTGAAACTGGGCTTTCTCTTGGCATCTGCATGGAGTCTCCAGCTCTGCTTCCCCCACTGGTCAGGAACAGAGGAAACTATTTCCTTAATTTGATCTAAATTCACAACAAGTTGTGATTGCCTGAACCTGTATTCAACAAAAAAAGTGATATAATATTCCTCTAAAAACTTTGATTCAGCACTGTCGAGATTTTCTTACTCCAGCATCTGGCCCCCTACAAGAATTATGTTTTGGAGAGTGGAGGTGAGGAAGGGGTACGAAAGGTGATCCCTTGCAGCGTGTGGCATCTAAGGGCTTGGAAGGCAGGATGATGCAGAGAAGCTCTGGGTTCCTTGCTGGAGAAGAGTGAGGAAGGCAGCACTTGCTGCTGGAGCACAACCCCCTGTGCTGATACACAGCCCAGACCTGAATCTGCTCCAGGTTGCAGCAGGGGGCTGGCAGTTTTCTTCCAGTGAGGAGTCATTTATTGATGTTCTGCACCAAAGGACATTCTTTGTTATTCAAGCCAACTTCAATTAACCAAGTCAAACTTACAGTCCTGCTTCTCAGTGTCTTCAGACATCCACAGAGCTCATCCCATCCTTTCCTGGTCACCACCAGGGTTCCTGCTGTGTTCTTGACTCATGCACCAAGCCAGAAGCAATAGTAGCACAAGTAAAAGGCTACATAAACCTGATGCTTGTTCCCATGCCAGGAGCACTGACTGGACCTGGCTAGAGACCGGCCACGCTGCAGCTGGCTGGAGCCAGGCTTTGTAGTTGTGTTGAATGGGACAATCTACTAAAATTAAGTATCTTATTATGTAGCTCATCACTTTGTCTGTCTTGTTTTGTAACCCTTCATCTTATCTGGAAAGATTTGGACACTGGTTATTCAAGCAGTGCTCTTTGAATGTTGGTGTGTCCCCTTGGCTCGTGAGAGACTGCAGTTAGATACACCAGCAGTGATGTTAAAGAGGGGTGTTTACATCTGTGCTAATCACAGGATCACTTCCAGCCCAGGCTGGTTGGAAGGAACCTTAAAACTCATCTTGCCCCATCTCCCACCATGGACATGGACACCTTCCACTATCCCAGGTTGCTGCAAGCCTGCGTCCAACCTGATGAACACTTCCAGGGATGGGGCAGCTGCAGATTCTCTGTTCCTCAGCTATCAACAATCGATCTCATTTGAGCACATGCACTGTGGATGTCCCAAAGCAACCACCTGGACCAGACTGTCAGCAACGGCAGAACAAGCCCTGAGGGTACACATTGCTGCTCTCTTCCAGGCAGCCCCACTCCAGGGAAACACAGCAGCAGATACTCCAGGTTTTGCTGCTACAGCTCTGCTCAGCCCCAGCCCAGCCCCAGCCCATCTGCCTGTCTTCTTTCTGTGATCCTGCTTTGCCTCAAAGCCTCACACCTGTGTGCACACCCACTGATTCCTTGCCCCAAGCTTGCCATCTCCAACTGGTGACACAAGCTGCCCCAGAAACTTCAGTGCCCACAAACTCTTGATTTCACACTCCTAGGCCCCATACAGGTCTCCTAGAGCTGCTCCCTGCTGAAGCAGGCTGGCAAGGAGTATGACCCAGCCCAGACCCTCCAAGGCTCTCCATCTGCACTGGGAACAAACATCCTGTTGGCTTTCAACTTGAGGGAAGATTCATGCCATTCCCACTGCCCAGGCTCCCCAGAAAATGGGCACAACCCTGAGGCTGCCAGAGTTCCAGGAGAGTTTGGACACCACTCCCAGGGATGCCCAGGGTGGGATTGTTGGGGTGTCTGTGCAGGGCCAGGGGGAGGACATGGGGATCCCTGTGGGTCCCTTCAGACTTGGACGATTCTGTGATTCTGTAACTCCTCATGTGTTCCACCAAGGCCAGCCCTGGCTGCCTGCCTCCAAAGACTCCTCCAGCTAATAGGGTGCCAGTCACAGGAGTCCCAGCATTTCCATTCCAGTGGAATCAGGAAGCTGGGGTTACAGGGAGACATTGTGAATGAAAGGAGCCAGCACTGGGCTCCACACAGACCAAGGGCATTACTATCCTACGCGACGTGTAATTAAATTGTGAAGCTCATGGCCACAGGATGCTGCGTGGGCTAAAAATACACATAGCTTTGAAATGAGATTAGACAAATTCACCAAGGGCAGGCTCGTGGTGGCTGTTACATGCATACCACTCCTGGCTCAGGAAGTCACTAAGGCATCAATTGCTGGAAAATAGAAGGGTATCACAAGGGCAGATCTCCTGTCTCTATCTGCCTGCAATTTGTCACCATCGCTGCCTGGGACCGAGCTACCTTGGCTGACCCAGCCCACACTGCTGCTCTCCCTGTGCAAATGATGGCAGTGGCAGTTTTGGGGATCCTGGCCTTCTGCCTGGTGCTATCTGTTTGCTCTCCTGCATTGCCTCAGATCTGCCTTGCCCAAACTTCTGAAACCAGGGCTCAAACCCCTCCTGTTGCACACAACCACCCAGAGATGATGATGATGATGATGTTCATCATGATGATGATGATGATGCAAGGTGAGCAGTTCCTGGCCTTCTGTGCACTGATAAATTCATAAGCTCATGAACCCTTTGGCCTGCTCCTCTCCTTACACTCTGGGGAGCTCTTGGGATGGATGAGCACCAAGTCAAATCCCTGCCTGCCTCACTGAAACTGGAACTGCTGGGTATGTGCTCTTTCCAAATCCCAGAAACAAAATCTCTGTCTCTCCAGGCATCTTACCAGCAGGCTTGGGGTGCTGCTGCTGCATAACTGATCCTCATGCTCTGTCAGTAGCTGGCTGAGACCATATCCCATTCTGGTGGCTCCCAGGGCAGGTGATCCAGATGTGCCATGGGGCTGACAGCAGCCTTCTGGTCCCAGCAGTGGAAAGCCACCTCATGCCACACCATGGGCCCCAGCTCACACCACTGCCCTTCTCCATCCCCACTGGGATCAGTCTTTGCACACCCCAGGGATTTCTCCAGGCTCTCTCATCTCTCTTCTTCCCTGGCACACTGTCCTCTTTCCTACACCGCTGAGGTTTTCCAGGTCCACTGAACTGCAGTTGGTCAGGGTCAGGAGTCTTGCTCTGCTGTCAGTTCTTTTGGCTGGAGTCTCCACTCTTGATGC